AAATTGGGGTTTGCTTCCTCTCCACACATGTGGATTCTAAGTGGAGTGTCTTAGAATCCCAGGATATAGTGCCCAGTGTTCAGTCACCATGACAACTTAGAATTTGATTGAAGGCTTTCCGAACGACGAATTCTTTTCAGGCACACTCTGTACATAAGGGGAAGGGAGGAAGTCAGGCACAAAGGAACACATCAAACAGGAATGGATCTGTGGTTCAGTGGTAGAGCATCTGTTTTGCATGCATAAGGGCTCAGGTTCCCCCCCCCCCCCGCATCTCCAGCTGAAACGCACAGGTAGCAGAAGGTGCAATGCACAGGTAGCAGGTAGAGAAAGAAGTCCTTTTCTCCCTTTCCTCTACAATACAAGCATTCGTGGGCTCTCAATGAAATCGATGAGCAGTAGGTTTAGAACAGATAAAAGGAAGTTCTTCGCCATCCAAAGAGCAATGAACATGTGGAATTCACTGCCACAGGAGGTGGTGGCAGTTTCAAGCATAGGCAGCTTCCAGAGGGGACTCGGTAGACATATGGAGCGGAGGTCCATCAGTGGCTATTAGCCCAAGTTATAGATGGAACACTATGTCTGGGGTGGTGGTCTTTTGTATTCTTGGTGCTTGGGTCCCTGCTGGTGGACCTCCTGATGGCACCTGGGTTTTGGCCACTGTGTGACACAGCATGTTGGACTGGATGGGCCATTGGCCTGATCCAACATGGCTTCTCCTATGTTCTTACGTCTGGGGCAGTGAGGCTTTGTATTCCTGGTGCTTAGCGGACAACAGTGGGAGGGCTTCTAGTGTCCTGGTGCCACTGGTGGACCTCCTGATGGCCCCTGGTATTTTTGGCCACTGTGTGACACAGAGTGTTGGACTGGAGGGGCCTTTGGCCTGATCCAACATTGGCTTCTCTTATGTTCTTATAAGAGGGAATTGGATAAACATTTGGAGCAGAGGTCCATCAGTGGCTCTTAGGCACAAGATATAGATAGGAACTCTCAGTCTGGGGCAAGGGACGCTCTGTCTTCTTGGTGCTTGGGGGGGGGGCGACAGTGGGAGGGCCTCTGGAGTTCTGGTCCCGCTGCTGGACCTCCTGAGGGCACCTGGGTTTTGGCCACTGTGTGACACAGAGTGTTTGACTTGATGGGCCTTTGGCCCGATGCAACATGGGCCTCTCTTACGTTCTTCTCTTAGATGATGTGAAAGACCTCTGCCTGAGACTCCGGAGACCTGCTGCCGGTCAGAGTAGACAATTCTGACCTTGCTAAGCCTCGTGTCTGGCTCAGTATAAAGTAGTTTCGTGCACACATCATTTATGTTATGGGGCAGGATTATGGCTCCATGGCAGAGCCTGCGTGCAGAACATCCCAGGTTCAATCCCCGTCACGGCCAGTTGAAAAGCAGCAGAAAGTCGATGAGACGAAAGACCTCTGCCTGAGACCTTCAAGAGTCGTTGCCCGTCAAAGTAAACGAGACCAACCTTGGTAGCCCAAGGGTCTGACACGTCATGGGAGCAAGCACTGTTTGTGCCCCTCGCAAGCAGGGTTGTTGCGACTTCTGAATGCAGTTCCGTGTCCATGAAATGCAAACCCTGACAAGTTTGTGACAGGCCTCTAGTCTAGCCCTAGACGAAGCCTCTAGCCCTAAGTTTAGGACTGACAAAAGTAAATACTTCTTAACTGGGGGAAGGTACCTGAGGACGCGTGCGTGCACACGAAAGTTCATACCTTGAACAAAACTTTGTTGTTCTTAACGGTGCCACTGGACTCAAACTTTGTTCTGTTACTTCTTAGCAAGTAGTTAAATTGTGAGGTTGACTGTCAGTGGGCACGGTGATGGCCACAGACATAGATGGCTTTCAAAGCCCTAGCCAACCACTTTGCAAGGAATGGCGGCTTAACGGGCTTGTCCTGGCCTTTCCTGGAATTAACCGGTCTTCATCTGCCGCCCCGTCTAGGTTCCTGAGTGCCCTGGCAGTGCTGGCGGAGAGGCCCGAGTTGGTGGAGCGGGTCATGATCACCCGGACCATATGCCCGGAGGGGGCCTACCAGGTGCGGCTTTGCAAAGACGGCACCTGGAGCACCGTGCTGGTGGACGACATGCTGCCCTGTGACGAGTGCGGCTACCTCCTCTTCTCCCAGGTGGGTTCTCGCAATTGGTGGAGCCGTTGCCGGTCAGTGGACAGGAGTGCGTGAATGTCGCTGGGTGCTGGGATTGGAGTGGAGAGGGGAAAGGGCCCCTGCCCGGGGGGGTAGTAACGGGGGGGGGGTCCATCGGAGTGAACGGATACATGTTCAGAAGGCTCTTGAATGTCACAGTGGAGGAGGAGAAGAAGAAGAGGAGACTGGATTTATACCCCGCCCTTCACTACCCAAAAGAGTCTCAGAGTGGTTTACAATCTCCTTCCCTTCCCCCTCCCCACAACAGACACCCCGTGAGGTGGGCAGGGCAGAGAGAGCTCTTCCAAGGACTGCTGTTTTGAGAACAGCTCTGAGAGAACTTGTGGCTGACCCAAGGTCAACCCAGCAGCTGCATGTGGAGGAGTGGGGAATCAAACCCGGTTCTCCCAGATTAGAGTCCGTGCTCCTAACCATGACACCAACCTGGCTCTCCAGTGTACGGTGGAAGAGGATTCTCCCTATGCAGGGAGCGGTGCAGGTAATGGCGGTCAGCAGGAGACAGAGAGGGCGGTCTTTGGTTCAACCACAAAAGGTATAGGGGAGCCTGGCTGGAGACACGTGGAAGTGCGTGTGAGGATGGAGAGAAGAAGGCAGCGGCAGCAAGAACGGAGGGCAAAGGAGGGGTAAGACTGAGAGGGCAGAGAGGCCGGAAAGTAGAAACAGGAAGGACCAGGGGGAACCGGCAGCCCGACTCGGTAGAAGACAGCTTTGTGTGTGAGACTTGTCCTAGCGGAGCGCTGCCGGATCAGATCTGGGCTCACTGCAGAGGTCCCCAGCAGAGCCTTTTTAATATATATATATATTTTCATTTTTCAAAAAACAGCAAACAGCAGTTTTGTTGTTGTTCAGTCGCACAGTCGAGTCCGACTCTCCGCGACCCCATGGACCAGATCACGCCAGGCCTTCCGGTCTTCTGCCATCCTCTGAAGTTGGCTCAACTTCATGTTCGTTGCATCTATGACACTGTCTGACCATCTCATCCTTTGCCGTCCCCGTCTTCTTTGACCTTCAATCTTTCCCAGCATCAGGGTCTTCTTCTCCTCCAGTGAGGGCTCCCTTCTCATTTGGTGGCCAAAGTAGTTGAGC